ATTACCATGGTATTTTTACTTTTATATTTGCCATTTTTATTATATTTGTTCTTTTCATTATTTATTTTTTTTAATAGACAATATTATTGTTTTATCTTAGCATATACAGTATAATACTGAATGAAAGTTTATAATAATATATTTTATATACTGAATTTATTCTTCATATACATTAGCATAAATTAACAATTATATTCTTATAATAAATCTACTAATTATTGTATTTTTATCAAATTATGGTTAATGGTTTTATATAAAACTTGTAATAACAAAATAATTAATTTAAGAAAAAGATTTTTTATAATTTTTCATTAACATATAGTAAAATTAAAAACTCTAAATATTATTTTATTTAATTTAATTATTTAATTTTATTTCTAACATATTTAAATAAATTTTAAAATAATAAATTATAAAAAAACAAAAACCCTTTTTTTTGTTTTATATTTATATTTGATAAAAATTATTATACAGAAAAATATAAATTATTATACAAAAAAAAAAAACTTTTAAAAACTTTGAAATATTATTTTTATTCTTTTAATTCAATTTATTGAATTCTTATATATTCTTTTTAATATTTTTATTATTGATATAAATAAATTTAACAAACCAAATGTAATTTATCTTACTATATTTATCTTAATTATTTGCTTTTTTAAATTTAACATCTTTTAAAAGTCTAATTAATTCTCAGTTTCAAAAAAATATTTATAAAGGCTTTAAAAAAATAATATAAATATCTTTTAAAATTTTAAAAAATATATATATAATTTGTTATATAAATATTAAAGCAACTTTTTTAAATTTTTTATATTATTAAATATTTTTAACTTATTTTTAATTATTAATATTTATTTATTATAAAAAAACTTTTTTTCATTTATCTTTACTTTATTTGAAAATTTTCTTTTTAAAAAATTTTCACCTCTTTCTCCTTCATTTCTCTTTTTTTATAAAAGATAAAACTTTATAACAAATAAGTCTAAAATATACTAATACCATATAAGACTTCTTCAACTATTAGATATTATATATCTGAAGAAGTATTTTTGCTTAGAAAAGTATAAACTAATTAAGTATATATATAACAAAAATCTGAGACAAGAAAAAGGAAGATTTAAAAGAACAAATATAATAAAAATGGCAAATATAAAAGTAAAAATACCATGGTAATAAAAAAATCCATTCAATATGTTAATTTACTTATTTAAAATATATGAAACATTTCAAAGATTTTTTTCTGACCTTGGATAATCTTTAAATACAAATAAGCAAGTTTCGAGATAAATAAGTATATTGAAACTGGGGAAACGAGAATCGTTAAGTCCGGAGCAAATAAATAAAAATTTTTAAATTTTTAAATAAAGAATAGGTGATTAACTTATTATATTTATATAATAAAATATCAAATAGTACATCGTCTACTCAGAAAAAATGAGTGGACAGACAAACATCAGTTATTAAGGTGCATAAAATCATGTAGTCCATTTAACTATAATAAATTTATGGAATTAAATTACTGCACGTATGCGTTTATATTTTTAATTACATAATGAAGAAAGTAAATCACGCAATAAATAACAGAACAGGATCACGTAAAATCGCTATCTCAGATCTACCCTAGTTACAATGAATATACGTAGCATTGCACTCGCTTGCAAACCCTTCGAAAACATTGAAACACAAGTGAACATTTGACCTTGTATCACCAAAGATAACAGCGATGTTTAAATGACTATATCATTGAATGGATCCATATCGATTAAAATTATACAATTGTTGAGCATACACGGTAATTTGTCTACGGGGGGGGGTTGAAACGACTAATAAGTTCGAGTTCTCGACATTTCATTATTCGATTCCAAGTCAAGAATTATTCTTCTTCAAAATTCCAGATTCTTGAGACGAAATTCTTGACATAGGAGACTTAAATAGTCATCGACTGGATAAAGGCCAGATGCGATGTGGCTAAGCTGATCTCTTCCCACTTCTTTAAACCGCTTCTAAAATTTAATTACATGAGAGGAAAAAAACCGTTAGAAAAGCGGTGGCAAGTAAACAGGTGCCAACGAGAATCCAAATTTAAAAGCCCACCTTTGCGTAATAGTCAATATCAAATTTAAACGGTCTCGTACCAAAGTTTGCCTCAACATAAACCGGTTCATTTTTCATGCCAATCACGGGATATAAGTCGTACTTCATAAATTCGAATGATTCTGTTCATTCATTCACTTTTGTGTTAATAGCAGGTTCGATTAGTGCGAAGGTCCAATATAGATTATAAATTTGATCAGAAAAATTAGGTCAATATAAATTAAGATTTCTGAAAATTGAATTTAATACCGATTCCCACTTACTTCGTGGAATAAAAATCAATAAATTGCGTCAAACATTATAATTCAACAGCTTAGATTAATGACACAAATACTCAGATACCAACCTTGTAGAAAGTTCACTCCACCAAGATTGATACCAAGATACCCACCTCGTAGAATATTCACTTCACCAAGATTGATACCATTCTTGGTATAAAAAATACTTCTATTGAAAAAGTCCACGCAACAACCAATTGTATCACCAGTTGAATATAGAGGCCCATAGGGATCAGTTTCCCACCGGTGACCATTATGAAATGTGCGGCCATCATCGCCGTGATATCCGAATGAATATCTATCCCAACCTGTCATTTTTTGAAAAATAACACGTCTATGAGAATAATAACGATAAAAAAGTAAGATAACAATAATAAGCTTTCTCTTGGTATCATATTATGTGATCCCAAAATCTATACATACCTGGCATTAAGGTAAGTCCATACCTCTTTGTTCCAATTCCAATTCCTACAATACTGTGAATAAAATATTAAGAGCAATAACTCTTAACTTTGCAACATGGTATAATGTCAAACTTACTGCGTTTTTCCACCGAATATAATATCAATTTCAAAATAATAAATTCCAGATACGATGGGAATGGGATGATCCGTTCTAATGGCTGTTGCATCATCATTATCAGCTAGAACACGATAATTTGGTATGTTAGTAAAAAGAAATTAAATGCACACTTTAAATATTCCATCAATTGTTTTTAAATTATAAATACTTGCATACAGCCTCAACACCCAATTCGTTCTCTCTAACTCTTAGATCCCTTCCTGCATCATACCTGTTCCACTTTGAAGGCAACGGTATTATTGATCTCCCTAATGCTCTATTATTCAAGTCGATGGGTGTGTTTCTTAAATAATTTGGAATAAAAGGTAGAGGTTCACGAGAACTCTCTGTGGCATTATTCAACGTTATTCCGTTGACAACGTTACTTTGAGGTAGATTTCTACCCATGCCAAACTCGGTTGTTTCTCTATCAAATGACGGGCCAAGATTTGGAAGTGCATTGGAAGAACTTGCGACCGAATCTGAGGTGAAGTTCCGAAAACTGAAGGAGAAAGGAGACGTTTCTTTGTCTTCCATTATTAATTGACCAAATTAAAGTGGGGTAGATTCTTTAAATTCCTTATGTATGTACGCATGCATACTATTCCCACGCTTACGTGACACACATGGTTTATACGCATGACGTATTATGTATATATGGTATATATGTACTTGTACAGTACGTACATGTTTTTTGCATTCGTTTGTAGAGATGGCCATAAATGATTCAACTTCCTTGGCTCGAGATATAGGTTCCGTCTATGATGATGATTATGATGATTTCAACGTAAAAATTAAAGTTGGAGAAAATTCAGCAATGGAGATCTTTAGAGCCCATTCAGTCATCTTGAGGGCCAGATCATTACACTTTCGCACTTTGCTTTCAGATAATTTGGTGAAACGAGAACAAGATGAATGTTATACATTTGTTAAACCTCATATTTCACCCAATGTGTTCAAACACATTCTCAAGTACGTGTTGATGTATTTGAATACTTTAGCTTCATGGGTAACTTAATTACCGTATAATAGGTATATCTACACGGGTATGTGCGATTTGGAGAATTGCGATTTCCTCATAGAATTACTAGTGGCAGCCGATGAATTGATTCTCGATGGATTCGTTAAACACATCCAAAATTATATAATATTAAATAAAACTTTTTGGCTACGTGAAAACCTTGTGAGACTTTTTCAAATCTCATCAAAACATGAATCCTTCTCTGAACTCCGAGAAACTTGTGGTCAGCAAATAAGTCGAAGTCCCGATTTGATACTGAGATCAACTGATATCGTCTACCTGGAGAAACGCACTCTTCTCACTTTCATCAAACGCGATGACATCGCCACTGACGAGATTAATATTTGGAACGCTGTAATAAAATGGGGCATGGGTCAGGATTTTAAACTTGATGACAACATCGAGAGTTGGACTAAAGGTGATTTTGAGGAGTTGAAAATCAGAGTTCAAGATTTCTTTCCTTACATCAGATTTTTTACTATACCCGGTAAACTTTATTATGAACACATTAGACCATTTAAA